ATTCCTTCATTATTTTCAGAATTTGCATTTATTTGAAAGGCAGAGCTGTAGATGTAGATATATGTCAGTGTTAAGAGGCCATCTAGCATTCTGTGTACACACAGGATGCCCTGTGTGCAAGTTGGGCTTCCACACTACAAATGCAGTACAAATTACAGAAACACTCTAGACTGCCACAGTGACTACAAGAATGCAAGAGGATGGAAATGACCTGCATTGCTCTTAATTACTGTGGCTGATTGCTATTGCAAGGTGACACTCAGTGTATGCATGAAATGTTAGAAGCTAATTTTAATTTTGGTATTGTAATCAACACCAACACGGTAGTACAAGACCCTAATACTCACAATGAACATTTTTTGTCCCATTACTAATGACTTCTACAGCCATACACTGATACAAAAATGTCCCAGGAACTGATGCTTTTTTTTAGAAGAATCATGTTGCCGCTGTGCATTTTAACTATGAAAATAATATCAACGACAATAGAAAATTCATTAAACTGTAAAATTATAAGTATAGAATTAATATAGATTAATAAATATTAATAATTATTCCACACATAATTACAATATATTGGGATAACTTTAATATTATAACTAAAATTTATTTTAGTTTATTTTATCATTATTATTACAGAGTACACATCCAATTCCAATGTAGAATACTACCTCCATTAAGAAACTAATTAGGAAATTAAATTATGCAAAGCTTTATCAACTTTATTTTGTGGGTCATCAGATAACTTTTCTATTTTGACATTCAAAGACCTATTATTCTTAAAACTGGGGTGCTGTAATTAGTATGTCTTTGACAGAAATAGCTCCACAAACTACTAACATTCTACTAGATGATGATTTACTCTGGGAGCAGATCTCCAATTCTCAAACATGATTTGTGAAACCATCTTGCTGACCTTCCATACTGAATAAAAGGACGGGAAGTCGTAATGTCACCAGTAGCCAGAAAGTGTAATGAAAGCCAAAACGTGTCAATTTAGTCAGTAAATCAAATATTAATAGGTCAAAAAACCCACAGAAAATAACTTTTTTTTTTTTCATTTAATTAGCTGAAGATTAAGTACTTTAAAACACCATGTTTATACTGAGTGAATACTTAAGGTAAGTTCAAATAAATATAAGATCTAAATTTTGTAAGATATGGATATATTTATTCAGTAATGGTAAAAATTAGTTAAATCTTCTTAAGATGAAGTTTTATGGCATTTCAGTTTCCATTACTTAATTGAGCTTCCAAAAATATCCGTAATATATTAGGTCTTACTAATAAAAAATCTAAAACATTCTACTTCATTAATTAAGTCCTCAAAAGTTTACCTAAAATAATTTTCTCCAGAAATGTGCAGGGTTATGACCTTATATAATCATCATATTCTCCATGTGGTTTAAGGAGTTAAGTGACCAAGGCTGTTCTTACAAAGGTATGTTCCCAAATAATTTCACTTCCATTAAAATAACTGCTGAAATTACTCCTCCTTTGAGACTTACTAATTTCAGTTTCCTCAGAATTGAAATTCCTTCCCATCATTCAGCATAAAATCAAAAGATCACTTCAATGTCATTTCTTTAAAAACTCAGATAAACGTCACAAAAAACTAATTTCTACAATTTTGAAAAAGAGCTCATTGCACCCATACTGGGGGAGGGGGAATAAACTAAATCCCAAAACACAAAAGTGCTTTCTCAAGCTGTCGCAAATCTGTGGAGAACTGCAAATGCTGTTCTTGTAGTCTAGAACTATAAACATACTGCCTGGACTGAGGAATGAGAAAGCATTCAGACTACTGCTCTTTTGGTGTAAATACCGTACAGCATGCACAGCTCCAGATGACATTTTAAAGTGAAAGACAGAAATGACTAGTAGGAAAGGATATTGAGATGACTGTGGAAAAATTATTTATTTATTTATTATATATGAGAAGTGGAAAATTCTGATCACTAGAATGATAGAAATGGAACTTCCTAGTTCAAAAGCATTATCCAACAATTTAGGAGCAATAAGAAAATCTGCATAAAGTTGGAAACCATCAATTGGCAAAAAACAAAAGAAACACAGATCTGTCACTATGATCAAAGTGGTTACCAGAAACTGTGTGACAGAATTGGGAGAAAATTATTTCCAGAAAAGATGAAGAAATATCAATGCCTTTCTACAAAGCAAACTAAGATCTTGGATGGCAAAGAAAGTACACTTCTGCTCCTTCAGGATTAATACATCAAGAAAACAAACACTGAGAAGAAAAAAAAATCTACATAATAATTATAAAATACCGTAAAAATTTAGAATAAACTAGTTATAAATACATATAGTCTGGAAAATAAAAGATGTTTCTAATCATAGCAAGCGTAATGTGGAAAGAGGAAAAAAAACCCCTGAAAAATAACAAAAAGAGATGTTTTGAGGGAAAAATAAAGTACTGATTACTGCATTCTTTCTTTTAAAATAACTTTCAAAATGGCCTAAATCAATTCTTCTGCGTTCTGCAGATGTAAGGACCTCAAAAAACAAGAGACAAGTGAAAATTAATCACTTGAACCCAATCTATCACAGAAAAGTACAAGCATATCTTCATTAATATACTATTGGGTGCAATGGCAGTCCATGCACTAACTCAGTGCTCAGATCTGACTCTCACTATTTTAGCTATGGACCTGTTTCTCCTGTCAAACTAAAGAGCCAAACCCACACTCTCCAGCCACATCTGCTTTGCAGATCCATGAAGTACCAGTCCTACACCCTCTCTGCCTCTTCAGGTGTCAACCAGAGTCCATGGTAAATATTACAGGATATTTCATGGCTGAATCTTTCAACTCCTTCACCTCTCAGAGGCTTCTGTGGAGCTAGTCAAAATGAAACTCTGGAAATATATGTTCTATAATTCTTCTACATCTCACACTTTAAAATTTCAGGCTGAGGTATGATTCATAGCCTTTTACTTCAATTTAATAAAATAAAACAACAACAACAACAAAAAAAACATGTTTCTTCTCACCAAAGATTTCCTGTGGTTTTGGTATTTTATTCTTTTAGAAATTTCAGTATGCTTTTTTTGGTTTTTTTGCATCCCCTCTTGTAATGCAATTGCTAACATAAATACTTTTACAAATTAAAAAATATTTAAAAATACTTATAAAAGTAGAGGCACTGGAGTTTGCTGAAGATAACTCAGAAAGACATTGATATTTTCTTTCAGGCAAAATTTTCTTTGCCTCCCAACAGACAACACTTTTGCAGGAGAAATGACTCAAGAGGTCTTGTCAGCTCTTACGTTTGTTTCTGGCCTTCCACTGTGTGAGAGGAATTCTCTACAAGATTATAAGAATTGTCATCCTTCCAGCATGTTTCCAATGCCCACCTTTGCATTCTGTAAACTCTTGCCTCTTCAGCAAGAATAAGCAACTCTTGAAGAGTTTTCTCAGTGAAAGGTAAAGTCTGCTTCTTTGTTATGGAGCAGTTCTGCTGCTTCCATTTTGGCAGAGGATCTATTCTTAAAGGCCACCAGAACTATTACAATGAAACAGATTGGTCTGTCCATGTCACACTGCTGGTTGAAAAATAGGTACATATGAAGATATTTTAAATAAAAACTAATGCAGAGAGACAGTAAATTAATCTAGATATTGCTCTGCACATCATTTTTTTTCCAAGATGCTTAATTACCTTACTTATAGGACTAGTTACAATTCATCTTCTGGAACGGAAAAAGAGGTAGGATGATTGATTTCATTTGTCTACCCAATTTGTACATATCTTTAATGAACAGAGCTAGGCATATAGCAAAAATATGACTGAACCATAAAAATAATTAACTTTTGTTCTCGTTGTGTCATTTTGGTATTAATTTTCATTATGCCTTCAAGCAGGTGAAAAGCACGGAAATGTTCCAGTGAATGCTTGCATACTTACTTGGATTCTTTCTTCCAGCGCCGTAGCCCACGAAAGTAAGTGAGGCAACTTCAGGAGTTAACGCATACAGACAATGCTTTAAAATTAGCTTCTGCAGTGGCAGGTGAGCAGCAGACTGCCTTGTTGGGTTAGTGACTTCTCTCCCCTTCCAAGTTCAGCTAAGTGCCCTGGCTAATGCACGTACCAGCTGGGAAATCACCGAAGACAAGGACAGGTGACTGTGGACAGTGCCAGAGTGACCAGGACATACCAGAGTGACGACGTTTCACTGCCCACCATTTACCTCTCCATCAAATAGTACCTGTGTCCCAGTAATTACAGAGATGATGATGCAATTGCACAAGAACAACTGAAAAAACTCCTGAGTCTTCCCAGTGGTGCTTGCAGACTTCCATTCTCACCACTACAATCCTCTACTGATTTGAGAGAAATTAAGCATTTTGGGAAACCACGGCCACACATTGTTGTTTTGCCCATAACCCGAAAGAAAATGTAAAAGCAATGCAATATATAGCTTTGTTTAGGCTTTCAATTGCACTAAGAACTGTACAAGGACTATCTATAAAGTAGAAGCATTAGCAAATATCAGAAGTGGTAAATATCCCAACTCAGGGGAACAGAGCTCTTTAGACTTGGGTCGTACTTACGATTCTGCTAGTGCCAACTCTGAGATCTCCCAAGGAAAACTACTACACATTCCGGTATTTACAGAGACCTGACAGATGTGCCATTAAAGAAAAAAATTCCGTCTCTGTAGACTTATAGCTACAAAATTATCTATGAGATTATTACTAACAAGTAATAGTATCTTGCTGATGTTTATGTCAATAGTTTTTGTCACTTTTTTTTTCTTTTAAAAATGTTAAAAAATCCATTATTTTTGTACTGGTATTTCCTATGTAGGATGTACCAAGCTTCTTCTTCTCATCTTAAAGCAGCACTATGCTTTTTTATTCCTTTTTCTTAGTTATGTTTCTTGATGCAGTGCCAACTGATGCCCTGTGCACTGCTGGCAAGAATATCTCCTACTGGTCCATGCTACCTTTAAAGCTAGGGAGCCTACCTAAATTGGGGTAAAGTGCAAAGGCAACACATCCTTTTCTCATGAATGGCAAGGATGCTATCCCCACGTGATATGGACTAGCTTATATGCCTACTGTCTGCTGGATATGTGATGAGCACTCACAGGAGCTAGAAAAAGGCTTCATCTCACCTCTTTCCATTAGCATTGCATACATTTATATTCAACTAATCAGAAGAGGATTTTTTCAGCTAGCTTTTACCATCTAGGCAATTGCTGAGAATTCTTTTTTGAAAAATACTGCAAAACATCTCTCCTTCAATTGTGTAATATATTATCACAAAACATGTTTTAGTAGCAAAGATAATTCAGCATACCGTTCCCATCCCCAGTACCCAACTACCCCTTATTTTGTGCTGCCCCAGGAATTAGAGCTGTACTAGGAAAGATTCAGTATACATTTCGTCTATAGAAAACAAATTTGTAAATAACACCACTTCCTGAAAAAAGACTGCCTGAAAAACCCCATATGTTTTTTTAATTTCCGAGAGTGACAGAGAAGAAGCCAGACCATTTTAGCTTGCTGCTAAATATATACTCAAATTGTTTTCAGCTAGTCAAAGAATTTGAATCCTAATTTCAGGTCATATAAAAATCACACATCCAGTCCAATCCAGTCAGAATACAGATATACTCTGGGTGAAATTTTAGTCTCCTTAGTGCTAGAGATTCCTTTGACATTGTCTTCAGCAGAGGTATCATTCTGGGAACTTGAGTTTCAGGCCTTTTAAAAAGAAATTCTGATAGTTGTTATTTCTTCAAAAGTAACTGGTCAAGTTTAAGGGGTTTTTAGCAAACAGTAGATAGATGCACCAGGCTAAGAAGTTGTTTTGCACATATTGTACCAAATTGTGACAGAAATTGCTGAGTAGAAAACTCCAAAGATGATTAGAATTTTGTTTGTGCACAGCCAAAGATAACTTAACCAAAGATGAAGAATATGCCCTCACAAAGCCTCTACCTATTTTTTACAAAAGTAAGCTTTTAATCCTCAAGCAATTGCCAGGAACACTAGCTGTATAAAAGTGGAGATATGTACATATGTGCTAGGAGTACAACTAGATACTAATGCATGCACATACAAATATTTTTTTGGTTAAAAAAGAAACTTCAAAATCTCGAAAGATTAACTACTCAGAAGAAGAGACCTAATGTTAATTCACATTCAATACCAAGTAAAGACATGTTCTAAAAGGTTTAGGTTCACAAAACCAGAAACATACCTGTATACTTCTAAATGCTTCTACATAACCTTAGCACAAACCCAATTTCATTTTTACCAGCTTGTACACATGATTTTAGTTTTGGTTTAGCCCACCGAAATGCAATCAGCAGCAGGTATTATTACTGAACTTACCTTCAGAATCAGAAAATTTCTACAGTTGAGACAAGTATGATTCCCATTTGGTCCATTACCAGTTAAGTATGTATTACAGAATCCAGTGAAGACCATAATCTAGCAGTAACTGCTCTAATTATACAGTATATAAGAATATCTGTGAGAACCTGTTTCATTTCATTTTCACGTCAGTGTATGCTTAAAATGTAAATGAATTAATTATAACTATTTTAAAATATATTTGTTAAATGTAACATCATGAACTAAACTCTATGAAAACAGAAGTCTCTTCCTATTTTAGTACTTCAGATGCACTTTCTACGTAGAGTAAGAGACACACAGAGCACGCAGACAAGGCGAGGCTGCTCTGGGTTTTTTTGTCAGCAGCCTTAGTCTTTCACTCCTTTGCTGGATGGATTTCACCAGGCTAGCTGATGTCTCAAGGGCAGCCTAAGACTCACACACTGAAAGTTTCATGTATTTTTAAAACTGCAATACCCAGAGGTAGAGGGTGAGGACTGACAGTTTTCCAAGGCATTAATGTAATGCAAATACAAGTAAGAACTGTTTTCAAAAGCAGCCATATATATTCTACAGCAGCCAGAAGGATTATATCCCATTCCCCATCGACAAGCTTGAAAAATCATGTAGAATACTTATTAAGACATGAATGTACACCTTTCCCATGTTCTTATTCACTGTATGGGTACCAAAAATATAGCAGAGCTATTAAACAGATAAATGACAGCAACTTCCTTCTTCAAACATACCTTGTTTTTCCACTGCATAGTGGAGTATGTTTTTAGGTAATTTTGCTTTGCATATTTATATCAAGACCCTTACATTTGTATATAAAAAATAAAATGTAACAATTACAAATAAACAGGAACACTTATATTTGTGAGTTGAGCTGTGTAAATCACACTTGCATAGCAATCTTTTAATAAAGCCAAGGGAAAACACATTTATGTGAGTGAAGACCTACTTAAAACAATCTTAAAAAAAAATCTAAAAAGTAGAGATTCTTACCCTAAAAAACTCTTTAGTGGAGCCAGAATCTAATGTCCCATAAGCAATTTCTGTTTGCTTGGAAAGATCCTCAGCACTTTCAATGGGAGACACCATCCTCTCAACCGTCAGGAAGGCAGCTAAGTTAGCCGTGTAGGAGGAGATTATGATGAGGGTAAAGAACCACCACACACCTCCAACAATGCGCCCCGACAGGGATCTAGTAACAAGTATGAAATGGATTTGTAAAGTGAAATGGAAATCCCAAAAAGGAACACGTTATCAGTTTTATGCAAATGGTGCATTATAATACAGGGAAGCATTTCAGGCTATCTCAGAGTTCAGCTCTGCACACGCATCAGATGGGAAATCAAGGCATTCTCCACTGGATCTCCTGGGACTCTGCTGAAATCAGGACTCCAGAGTTTACTTCTGGAAGAACTTAGTGATCCAGTTCTTCAAAGTTTTGACAACCCTTGAAGGAAACTGCTTCCATCATAATGTGCTATATTTAACACAAACTTTTTGTTCCCTCTGAAGTGATTTTGTGTGACATTACGATGAGGATCAAACAAAATCATCGGATTTATCAGAATGCACTTTAAAATCAAGGGCCTTGATTGTTTTCATAAGACATTCAGACAAAGACTGATTGCCACAAAACAATGGCTTATGCTGCTGTGCACACTCTGTACTGAGAAACACATAGCATTATTTGCAAGAAAAGCTTGCCCAGGGAATATCTATAGTATAAAAAGTGCACATGACTTTTGAAAGATACAAGCATTTAACAAACTGAGGACTGGACATGAAACAATCAGTGATAATACAGAAAAATAGTGAAGAAAGTATTTTAAGAAATAATGATAATCTGATGTTTATAACAGCAGCAGGTGGGCTCTTATGGATCTGTGTTTTGCTTCTCCTGCTCAAGAAGAAAGAAGAAAAGAGAACTCAAGAAAACATATAAAACAGCATAAAGCACACAACTCAACTCAGTAATTTTCAAGAATAGAAAACTAACATAAGAGAAATATTGGCACAACATTATTGTCAAACTTGGATTTTTTTTTTCTTCATGATCCTTTAAAGTTTGAAATTAATTACCACTTTATTTCCAAACAAGACATTATAGGAAGCAGTACATAATCTTCGGAGATATGTTTAATTATTTTGAAGAAATGTGCATGTAGTTAACAGTCTAGTTCTAGGGCACTGCAGTAGCTTAGGTATGTCTTGGTGTGTCTCCTCTATTTACTAAGTAAACAAATTAGGAATCACTCACCCAGCCTACTGTACTGTGAATGAGAACACAAACTAATTGTGACATAGAATATATATAGATATAACTATATATAGACATATGTACATTTAAAAATTATAGTTATGCAAAGTGGATTTACCAAGCTAGGAACAAAATTAAATAGAACAAACTCTGGACAAATAATTTTTTTCTAATTGCTATCGCATAAAATCTCTGTCATAATTCTGACATCAAAAGATTTATTCCATGTCACAACAGACTCAATAATTCACTCTACTGCATGAAAATCAAGTCAGATAAGGCCCAAAATACATTATTCAAAGGACCATAGAAAAAAAATTATATCGAGCTCATTCTAAAGTGAGCTGTATTCTGCAAAAATGCTTACTGTCACTTTTGAAAAAAACATCATGTCCTTATTTTGAAAAGGGGGTAATTGGAATATAAAATAATTCTACAAGCAAAATATTGAGTTATAAGGTATACTGAATATTTTATATTGTGTATTTGCAAGGTAAAATCTGTCAGTGTGTATTTAATAACTAGGGTACTTTGTATTGTATTGATGATGCCCTCTACAAATGACAATAATTTTCAAATGCCCATGATCTGTGAGCAAAGTTGCCACTGACTTTGTGAAAAAAGAATAAACTCAATACCAATACAGAAATCATGCTCCCACATGGCATTTTGCAAGTAAAATTATTTGGGGTGTCATTTTTGTTCAAAATTTCCCCAGGCAGTCTCTCACAGTTAAATGAGTAGTTTCTTTTTTATGTACATTTTGAACAGTTTCTAAAATGTGCTAGCATGAACCCATACTTTAGAAGCATCTAATTTACTAGACCTTTAAGTACTATAACAAAAATTTCTGTGCACAATTACATAAATTTGTGCACCACCTTTTGTGCTTAGAATAGCATTATCTGGCAGAATTGAGAGCACAGTCATGTCTCAGAAAAGACGGGAAAAGCTTTGCTCTAAGTTATGATTATCACATAATATATCATTGTACTATTTTGTTCCTATGTTACCCATGAGGCAACATTGGGAGTGTTTCTACAGACCATTTCCAGGTGGTCCAGTCTTACTCAGCACCACTATTCTATTCCAGAGCCAATACATATAATATAATATAATATAAGAAATATTATACTTATTTTTATTTTAATATTTAATATTTCAGTATTTTAATATTTAATATTAATAACAATTATATTAATTATATTTTTAGAATAAACAGATAATATACAAATTAACCACCTTCCTCGAAATTATGGTTTCAACAAAATAAATTTAAATGCTTCACTGAAGTTAAATATTGAATATCCAAAATTGAGTTTCATGAACCTTTTCTGATGACCATTTGCTATCTGTATTCTTACACTACCTTTCAATACCTATCAAACCATATAAAACAATCATTGTGCTTTCATAAATAGTAAAATATAGTAAAATAATAATGATAACAAGAAAAAGATCATAATTCTACTGCAGCTTTGATTCAATAAAAATAATTTTGTACTAATATACGAAATTATTTTTTATAATTTTGTGACTTAGCAGGCAACTCCAACTGTGAAGTGTATAATCAATAAAAAAACCCCACAGGAGTGAAATCAACACAACTTCTCATGATCTGCAGCAATTCACCCTCTCCACTGCCTTGTCTCTTGTATACAATTCTTACTGGGTTAGGTGCCAAATCCATGGCATCTTTCACCATAAAGGCTGGCATGTCCCACTGTGACACAGCAGCCTTTACGGAGAATTGATGAAGTTCTCACACAATAAGTGCTGTTATTTCTGTGGTAGAACAACTTGAAAACCTGCTGTTGCCTTTTGGGATGCATGACTTAATATCTAAGAAATGCTCCCTTGGTTTGATTTATTTTGACCACCAGCCACTAGACTCACTAGAAACTGACCCTGTCTTATTTGAGGATCTTTTACATTAAGAAAGGTAATTCTAATAAGCAGTTTTAGCTAAGTCCTCTGGTTTGATTTCCTTAAACTCGGCTGCCCTATTTAAATTGCTACTATATTTCCTTCAAGCAGCAATTTACCTACCTACTCATCACTTCGCTGAATCAAGGCTAGAACCACTTGTGCACAAGCAAAACAGAATATTTAATGAACTCCAAAGGAATTAACTTAAGTTCTTTACAGTTGTCCCTAATAAAGTAGAAGAAAATCCATGAGGAATTAAGCACTCATAAACTGGACCTCCAGATTCATTTTCATAACTTCCTTTGTGACTTTTCTAAAACTAGGCCATGGAAAAAAATAGTGTTTTGCAACTATCCACAGGAAATTAGAGCCATCACAGGACTTTTTACTTAAGTTCAAGGCTCTCTTGGGGAATAAGAGTGTGTTAATAACCATGTTATGATATGCAGTGAGTTTTAGAGGGAAAGTGCTGCCTCTGTAGTTCGTGACTAGTATGTTATCCTTTTTTCCCATTACAGTTGTGGTGAACCATATGCACTGTCAACTGTAAAATGGGAATATGCAGCAAAAACACGGTACCCCTCCAAGAAGGCATGGAATGATGTGAACCTTATGCATTTTACAGTCTCTGCATGGTGTATATAACTTCACTTGGCAGATTTATGATCGACACTAAGGCAAAGTCGATCAACTATATCCTGACCCTAGGTCACAGACAAGTGCTTTCACTTCAAGGACTTCTGTGACTTTAGGGAGGAAAAAATCATTGCAATTAATTTCTCTCCAAGAATGAAAATATATGCACCACGAACCTCTTCTGGCTGAGATGGCTGAGACCAAAAATGCACAAAGTTGAAATGAGTGAGTAACCAACCTTGGCGAAATATCGCATCCTTGCTGCATAAAGGCACCCAGGGAAAACCAGAGACTATTAAATATCCCAAATTCATTAGTTGATTCATTAGTTTGCGTTTCTCTTCCATCTTCAAATTCCTCAGTGTGCCACTCGTATGGGCTAAATCTGCTGACCAGGAATAAAACTACACTGACCCCAATGTAGGCAAAAACAATGCACATCCAGATTTCATATGCTAACGGATCAAGAAATGAAAACACTCCTGGCTTGGACTTCTGAGGCTTCTTGATCATTATTGATATCCCCAGGCTCATAAAGGGCTTTGAGAAGTCAATCACCTCTTCTCTCACCAATGTTATAGTTAATGGAGCAATTGCAATATCGGCTTTCTGTAAAGGAAGAGAAAAAGCAAATAATAGCTAATGCAATGAACAGAGCAAAAAATGGTTTCGTTTCTATGGCATTTCACAAATAGAAAATAGGACAGCAGAGGCATTTGTTTCACTGAGAACATCCTGTGGAGAATTTCAGAAATTTTTAGTTGAACTCATACTGAAATACATAGAGCCATATGGTTGGTGTATTCCAAGATTTTGTTTTTATATATGCCCTTTTAACAGCATATGGCATTTAAAAGTTTAACAAAGTACTTTGCTTTTCACCTGGTCAGAAGGATGAAATATGCGTTCATGTTCCCCCAGATTCATTTGCATTTGAAATGTAATTTAATGTTTTATTTTCAAAATTTTTCATGCCATTAAAAGTAATTCATTCCTATAAAATTAATTAGGTAACTTTCCTACATTCTACAGAGAAAATGAAACCAAATCCCACTCCTTCCATTAGTCATCTCTAATAGCTTTATTATAGAAAACTTTCTTACCCCATAAACAAGTTCTCCAACCATCCCATTCCAGATTTTCGTGTCTGCATCCCTTGCCCCATACTTGCCATCCCCAACAATTGTGAGCTTATATTTGAATCCACAGTGCTTAGCAATTTCTGTAGCTAAGTCCACACAGTAGCCCTCATATCGATCATTTCCTTCAAGCATTTCGTGATTTTTCTTCATCATGACATATGGGGACTCCTGCACAGAAAGAACTCGCCTTAGCTACTTGACAGAGACAGGTGCACCTGTTGTACACTTCACAGATTGGTATGCTCCCTTTTACATGGGAAAAAAGAGAGCAGATACCATCTGAATCATACATGCTACGTAGACATTAGCTGTCAATTATGAATGGCACGTGTCTTTAACACATTTAAAAGCTGCATTCTCCAGTCATACACAATGAGTACTTACAGGCACAGTGATTCCCAGAAGTATGTTAATAATGACCATGATTGTTAACAGGAGTTACGCATTCAGAGAAGAAAGAGTAAATTCCAAAATCAGTTTCTTTCTCTCATACAGTTTGAATGGAAGAAGGCAAAGGTATTTAGTTGCTTTTGTTGCTGTCTTATACAAGAAAATTATTTTCTATTTCACAACCACATCTCTCCTTGAAAAAACACTTGAGACTCTCAAGGCTATATTTTTATTAAATTGCTATACAAACAACAGGTAAGATATCTATAACTATGCACTAAATTTCTATCATCAGCAAAATTGGTGATGATTCATAAATTGGATTAATGTATTTCCTCTTTGCTCAGTTGCTACAGGACTGTCCTTGCATCCAGAGAAATTTATGTGCTAACCTATGTGTCATTCAAACTGATAAACAAGCTGTGCAATTTACAGAAAAATGCTCGTCTATAATAATATACAATTTAATTTTCTAAACAACCAGAATAAAATATTTAATGTTTAACTTTACACTTTACCAATCCATAGCAGCTACAATCCTGAAGCATAAGAACCAGTCTCTTTGCTGTTTGTCAAAAGCTATTCTCTAAAATCTATTCTCTAAATTCTCTGCCTCTCAGGAAGTTCCTCTCCTTTGAAAGCAGGTATTTAATTTCCATTTTCAGTTTTAAAAACCATAATTTTCTAGGATGTTCAATCAAAGACATTCATCCTCTACAAATCAAAACTGCATGCTGAATCCCATATAATTCCCTAATTTTTAGGTTTTATTATGTATCACAATAAGTAACAGCTCACAACCTTAAATAATAAAAAGACAGTACATTGAAACTAACATAATGTCGAGAAACAAATCATTGTCGGACAGACTTGTCTTCTGACAAAATAGGAGGTTAATTACCAAAATAGTGGTGACAATAATAGTCTTATTCTCTAGTCCTGAAGATTCATTTCCAAGAGGGCCATCAAGAGGATTCACAACCATTTTGTCCACTTCACTCCAATATCCAATCTAAAGAGAGTGTATAGGATGCACAGACACTAGTGAATATGAACCTTTCTGGAAAAGGTAAAGCATGTTATTACTGTGCCCTTGATTTGTGCTCACAGAGAACTATTTAACCTATGGATTTACCACTGCAAGCATATCTATTTATGTAGTGAGAGACCACAACAAACACTAAAAAGATTGAACTAATGAAATTTTTTACATTACTTTGTCTAGAACAGGTATACCATTTTTATTCACATATTAACAGGTTTTAGTATAAACATCACACACTGTAAAATTGAAATACTCCAGATTAGCAAAACATGAGAAACTGTTTTTCCCTGAAAGATTTGAAATTAGAGCAGAAACACAAACACATTTATAAAAACATCACTAAAAAGCTGTATCTAGCTTTTGTCATTCAGAAGCATATTTCTCCAAATGCTGGCTCACATTTAGCAATTCAGATCAGAAAGAAAAAAGTTTAATCCACAAAACTGAAAGGAAAACACTCTTACATTGCACTTACCAGAAATAATAATTCATATTTGTTAGAAAGAAATATTACATATGTTTACTTCACTCTGCAAGACCACTGTAGAATACACCTATGAATAAATATTATCACAACTCGTGCCTTAATGAATGTTTCAGTACCTACCTTAACCCATTGCTTAGAATGGTAAAACCTTTTAAGATGCTATAACACAATTCAAATTACCTTCCGAGGACCAGTACTTTTGAGTTCCATGACGTTTATGGTAAAATTGATTCTCTTTCCGTTCTGATCAAACTTGATATTTCCTGTTAGCCCTTCCACCTGAACCTATAATAGATGAAGATACAAGTGGTAGAAGAATTAAGTTTGTTTCTTTTCAGAAAATGGGTTTTTTATTTCCACAAATTATTATTGAAATTTCAGAAACATTAATGTAAGAGTCATTTTCATATGCAATATACTATCTTGGCCAGGTTCCTGAGGATTTCACTTCCACATTATTCCCAGCAAGATCCCGACAGGTTAGGAGACTAGCAGATATTTTCAAGCATTTATAGAGAACTTCACACATGCACTCATCCCATCATCCACTCCAGGGAGGCTACCTGTTTCAATGCCCTTTCTATTTCTACACCATGACCCCAGGGTACTGCTGGATTTGCAAGACAATCTCCAGCATTTCCTCTTCTGGAGATCTCAATCCTCTGTTTACGCAAATTACGGAAAGCTTCTGTCATCACTTGAACAGCATCATAGGTCAGAGCAGAGGTATACTGAAAAGAAGTGAAAATAGTTCATTAAAAACTGTCTTCAGCTTCACTATATCTTCCAATCCACTTGGTGATCCATTAAACGCTAGAAGGACAGCAAGATATACTTGAAATCAATCAATTTTTCCTTCGTTTACCCTCTGAGGGGCATCTGTGAAAATCCATCTAGTGTTCATCAGAATGGTTAGGGACAGTGCCAATAAATCCTAGCTAAGGATTTACAGACGTTTTCCATGTGAGTTACATTTTTTCTCACTTACAGCTGTGAAACAGTCCTGTCTGCAGATAGGGCTGGAAGTCCATGCAGGTGAAAGGGAAAAAAAAGAAATAATTTTCAGTGTTTAACCTGAGCTAGCCTGTAAAAATAAGAAGTTGTTCCTCTGATTACACTTCTCATAGAGAAGCATTTATTCACAGATCTTGAGACTTCATCTCCTCCCAGACATATACACACAAACCCAAAGAGCATGTATTTGTATATACATGCATTTAACTTTTTCCCATTAAATATAAAATCTCAGGGGTAGCTACTTTCATGTATGTAATACATTGTCAACACCACAGAAAACAGTTTTGAGGCTGAGATGCCTGGAACAAGTGGTGCCCCTCAAAGAGCAATATAGGTGAGGAAGAGCCCCATGTTCCTAAACTGACATAATATATGGAGCTTTACAACTTCTGAGACATCAGAGACGAATCCTGTGATCACATACATCAGGAACTGGGGCTAATTGGTCAAAAGCATTTATCTTCAGTGACTGGAAAATTTTACATCTCAACTAACTAACTGAACTGAAACCACATGTGCACATACACTGAGGACTTTGTTGGATGGGCTTTTTGAGTCTGAAACTCTACAATTAGGGCAAACATAAGAGCCATTTTTGGAAATATGGGCCAGAATATAACTACTCAGAGGCATATGAATGAATGGAATGATCCCTGTGAAGGCTATTAGATGCTGAAAATATATAAATTGTAAAGTGGAGAGAAATGATGTATTAGCTCTTTGCTTCAATGGCTCAGACTTTAATGAGAATTTTAATTAGTTAGCTCAAGTCATGCAGAAGGCTCTTGTAATTGTAACGAAAGCAAGCTCCCAAATTGAGATTAATTTTTGTATGCAACTGTCAGACCTTAGAAAAGGAAGAAAAGGAAAGTAGAACTCTTTTTTAAAGATCAGTAAGCTCAGTGATCGGTGTCAATCTTCTCAATAAAATTTTCTCAGTGACTTGTACAGAAATATTTAAAGGATCAGAACAGCTGAATGAAGTGAAAGACTGGCTGGAGTCACTATGACTTCCTCCTACTGGAGCAGCAGTGCTGAAGTGGTGCATGTGAATTTGGAGATGAGGAGAAGAAAGGACCCTGACTAGCAGTACTTCTTTAAACATTGCTCTTTGCAGTACAGAAACATATTGTGCCACACTAGCGTTCTGAGAAACTTTGGACACAGCACTGTCACTAAACATCGAAACATAGGGTAGCAGAGAAAATAAGAGCTTGGAACGGAGATGTAATAATGCTATCTAATTCAGTTATTCTATGATTCATTGCATCATTGAGGTATATTTAATGCATAATTACTGACCTGAATATTCATAGCTCAATCACACATGAGGATTATGTGGAGCTTTGCCTATCAATCAATGTCTATAAGTGCATACATGTCTTCACATATATGCAATCTACATGTCATAATTTAGATTAAGACCACTTTAATCTAAGGATCTCAAAATATTTTAAAAGTACTGTTGGAGATGCCATGAAAGCAAGCAGGCCATGAATCATTTCTTACTGCTTTATTGTGCATACACTTTCAGCTCCTAATAACCTTCATGGGGCTCATTAACACTATCTACAGCTTCATAAATTGATGTAAAGTTGACGAACTAAACCAAAGTGAACTCATTACCATAAACAAGAAATGACAGACCAATAACCTACTCATGCAGAGGTGTGTGCATCTGCATAATAAATAAAATGGTTGTAAGTTGAAGGATGCATTAGCCCTGCCTTGATTCACTTTGTTTTCCTGGAGATTCATCCACTTTCTGATCTTCATTATTAAAATAAATGGGAGCACTACTTGGAACATAATTCTGTGGAAGTGGGATGGGGTCTTACATCTTACAATTTTATGGCAGTGTAAACTTCCCAACATAATTTCAGTTCCTTTCACCTTAATATGATAAGATCAGCAACTTTACTACAAAATTAAATAGGTGCTATACTAGAGTTCTTACAGAATCACTTGCTTTAATTAAACCATGGCAAAGAATATAAAAAAAAATCTCACAACTTTAGAACTAGGATAATAAGCTGATAAGTTAAATTGCCTGAAGATTTTATGCCATTTGCTATGAAACATGGATTGCATGAATTTCAAATGAAAATAATTTTCTCTAAGTAGATGCCTTAATTGCCAAGCAGAGAAAACACAATGTCCATGCAATTTTCTTCAACTTAAATTTCTAACTTAACTTTCTACCTTCAACTTAAATGCCCTAGTAGACTGTAGTAAAATATGTAAGCTGCAATTGTGAAGATGAATTTGAAAAGCAAAGACAAAACAAAGTCATCCCCATCTAAGCAGAAGTTATTACATGTACTGTCCAAGAAAAACTGCCAAGATGTTCCTTTTTGTAAATTCAAATGTCTTCCAGTAACTCAGGAGATAGTGGAAATCCTTAGCAGAAAGGGCCAGGATTCTATTTTGTACAACCAGTAACTGAATCTTCTGAAGGTGAAATTGCAGAACACTACCCCAGAATATAACAAGGTTTTGTCATATGTGTAAGTTGCATAAAACTTACAAAGTTGTAAGATATTATAAAAAAGGTAGTTTAGTCTGTTAAACTTGCATTTAACTCAATGCCTGTTCATGTGCCCATGACAAAGCTGAGAGATATGATTAGATGATTAGACATCTAAAATAATTAAGACACTATACTTAAGCAGTGGAAAAGAAATAAAAATGTGAAGACATGAAAGCAAAAAAAATAGGAAAAAATAAAAGGAAAATATTCTGAATCACAAGAAGTGAATTTTTTCTCCTCTTGATTTGAATATCTGCAATGTCCAAATCTATCCTTGTTTACAGTCAGAGAACACAATAAGCGTTCTAAGGTGTGATTCATTTGACCAGTTAGACACCTTTTTGGAAGATGAAATTAATTGTGCTTTAGATTTCACTCTGATCTCCAGTGACTCCTGAGACTAGGGAGGAATCCAAGGCGGTCATCTTAGTAGTCTCACTAGTAACAAACTAAAACCACTCAGACGGACTGTGAACTAGCCATTCATCCCTAATCCAACACATCTGAGAGAAAGAAAACGTAATGGGAAAATTTTGGAAAATCTATGTCAAAGAATGCAGTGCTGTTGTACAAGACAATAGGAGACCTCAGCCAGAATGGCAGATCCAGCTGCAGCAGCACTCAGGAAGGCAGAAATCAGTCTGCAACAGGCACAGATGGAGGCTCCTCACCACGTATGAGGGGTGCTGTTGGAACAGCAGAAGGGACACGGCATCACTAGCAGAGGCTAAGAGAAAGGAGGCCTAAAATCTGATAGAAATATTTTCCCTTGGGGAGCGGTAAAATTCTGAGAGAGGAAATATAGGAAATGTTCTTTGTTGCAAGAGCAGAAGGGTAGAATCAATCAGTCTAAACACACTTTCACAACCTTCCTTATATTTAAACAATTTCAATATCAGCAAATATACAAAATAAGCTATAATAAAATCTCTCATCTGAATTTTTTGTGGTTTTCCCTCAACAAAGTACTTCTTTACTTGAATGCCAGTATATACAACAAAAGCAGACAGACTGATATAAACATTCCTACATCTTTATAAATTACAAACAAAACATAGGTACATACCTATGTAAACACACAATCAGAAAAGAAATGAGGCCCAAAGTTACTTGTCAAGAAGTAGAGAAGGAACTGGGCAACTGTCTCCCATACTTCCAGTGTAGTCAAACTGATCATCGGACACCTACTTCTTAAAGGACTCTAATGTAGCTGGGAGCTATTTTGAAACAGACAGTGTTACACACACTTTGGAAAATACCTGAAGGTGGTCTGGCAGATAAGAGAGCTAATAGAAAATTACCTGACTGATTGGAAATGGCTATTTCCTTCTGGAGCTCCTGGCACCTTGCATAGCATCCTGACAGGACATGGAATTGCAAAGAGCTACTTCCAATAGACACAAGAGAAATTGTCAAATCTTGCACACGTAAGTGTAACTGGAAGTGAAGATGGCCTTTGATTGTGCCCATAGTCAGGCTTTGTTCTCACCTGTTTTGTGCAGGCATTAGCATGAATGGGGGTGTGTACACAGCAGTGTGCTGAGAAAATGGGCCTTGAGCACCCGAGCATCTTCATTACCTCTGGCCATATTTCAAATACTGCAATGTGAGATAGAGGTCAGGGAGCCCAGAAAAGACAGTGCATGGCTCTTCCTCTTTGTTAGGATGATGCTCTTGTGAAAAGAGGCGGTCTTAGCAACAGACTTGCTTCCAGCTGAGAATAATTGCATACATACACAAGATATTTGGAAATAATAATTGGAAGTTTTTTAATGACAACCCCGGTTCTGACTAAAATGGGAAGAGAGATTAATAAAATGTAAAATTACCTGATAATAGTAAAAAATTAATTAGATTGATCTCAGTAAAGATGGGGTTAGAGACCAAGCCCTATTTATCTTAATGAATATACTAGGTGCATTACATTTTGTTTCCCAAAGTTGTACAGTCACATCAACTTATACTTTGATAACAGCCTTTATTCAAACACATCTGCAGCACTCTGTGTGCACAGAAAACCTAAACAAATAGGTATTTTTGCTTTGAAGTGCCATACCGGCATAAGATGCAAAGAACACCTGAAGAAACTGTCACTTTAGAAAAACTTGCATTCAGCTCCAGAACTGCTATCCAGAAAATCTGCTGATTTTTTGACATGTTTATATGTTTTAATTATCTCTGTGC